CCCCGCCGTCCCCGCCCCGCCCTCGGCGACCCCCGACTCGTGCCTCGCTGCGTCCCCAGGCGAGGTGTTCTTCGTGCCCGGGCGCCTGACGCTGTCCGAGGCGCACGCGGCGTGCGGGCGGCGCGGGGCCGTGGTGGCCAAGGTCGGCCACCTCTACGCCGCCTGGAAGTTCTCGGGGCTGGACCAGTGCGACGGCGGCTGGCTGGCGGACGGCAGCGTGCGCTTCCCCATCACCACGCCGCGGCCGCGCTGCGGGGGCCTCCCGGACCCGGGGGTGCGCAGCTTCGGCTTCCCCAGGCCCCAGCAGGCGGCCTACGGGACCTACTGCTACGCACAGACGTAGGCGCCCGGGGAGTGGAACGGGGTCCTGCGCTTCCCGCTTCCCGGGGAGGGACGGGAAGAAGGGACCTGGAGCGCCCCCCGCGGCCGGTACGGACGCGGCCCTTGGACGGCGGATCGTGGGCCGTCCTAGCATTCACTGACCTCCGCGCACCGCAATAAAATAACGTGGCACCTGCTGTGTCTGATAAGGCTGTGAAGCTCCGAGGCGGTGTAGCGTGTGAGGGGCCTGACACCCAGAGTGCCGAGGGCGCGCCCAGGAAGACGAGGGGTGGGGGGAGGAGAAGGAGGGGGAGGGGAGGGAGGGGGAAGGGGAGGAGGCGGCCTCTGCAGGGTGGGTCGGCAGAAGACTTAGGACGCCGATAGACCAAGGCGGGAGAATCTGAGGGTTGGGCTGCCTTGGCAGGCACCCAGGCCGGACAGCTCAGGCTGTCATTGCGCCGGGCGCCACGCGGGGGCGCCGCACACTCACCTACAGTTGCCCAAGTTCAAATGTGCCAGAGGCATTCCTGCGTGGGCTTCTCTGGGTTGCACGCAACAAATATATGACAGACTAAATTTATTTCAAAATCTGTCTGTGTACCGGGCGTGGTGGCACACGTCTGTAATCCCAGCGCTCCGGAAGCTGAAGTAGGAGGATCGCTGTGAGTTCGAGGCCAACGTGGGCTACACAGTGAGTTTAAGGCCAGCCTGAACTGCATAGTGAAACCCTGTCTCCAAAAAAAAAAAAAAAAAAGTGTGCCCTGAAAATCTCCCAGAAACGTTTTCAGGGACTACCATTGAAGCTAGGAAAGCCATATGGTTGTTACAATTAAAAATAAATTAACTCTGCCAGAGGAGGAGACAAACGCCAAATGAGAGGCCAGCAAGGCAAAAGAGGGCTGGACCAATGACACTCTAAACACACGACTAAAGGAGACACACTAGTAACTCCAGACAAATTGGAATCCAGGCGTGGTGGTGATCCTAGCACTTAGGTAGGCTGAGGCAGGAGGATAAAAGCCTCCAGGCCAGCCTGGGTTACATACTGAGGGAGAGAGAGAGACAGACAGAAGTTTAATGTCATTAACTCATTTTTCATATATATATTGCATGTATATAGAGAATCTTGCATGGCTTAGCAATGAGCACACGTTCTGAGACATGGTCTTAGGCGACTCCCTGTGTATGGACATAGTAATATGCACTCCCACAAACCTAGATGGCTCCACACCTAGGCTGTGTGTACAGCCTGTCACTCCTGGACCATGCAACTGCGCAGTGCCTACTGTACTGGGTGCCGTGGGCAACTGTAATACAATGGTATTTTCTCGTTGCTGAGACAAAATACCCAACACCCACAAGTTAAGGGAGAAAAGGTTTATTTAGCTCACAGTTTGTAGAGGTTTCGGTCCATAGTCAGCTGGCTCCAAGGCAGGGCAGCATGGCAGACAGGGCATCACGGAGGAGAAACAGTTCGTGGTGGCAGAAGGTAGCAAAGCAAGCAAGGGATAAAACAAGACTCCTTCTCTTACAGTATAACCAGGCTACCGTGATTCGGTCAGTGCCAAACCAATCAGTGGGCTGATTTAGCAATCGCCATGCTTAATCCTAGCACCCTTAACCCTAGCACTGCACCATCAACCAGTCGCACACCCTAGACCCAGCCACCTCTGACAAAGCCCCGCCTATGACTGCACAAGGCTTTGAGGGGACAGCTACACTCCAGCCATAACAGTATTTGTGTATGCAAATATAGAAAAGGTACAGTTAAAGTATGGTATGAGGTGGTGCCGTGATGTATGTCTGCACCGTGAGTGGCGCTGGCCTGACTGGAGTTCCCCAGGTGAGCCAGTGAGGGGCTAGGGAGTGAGTGTGACAGTCCAGGATATTTCCAGGCACTACTGTGGACTTTACACACGCTGCCATTGCTTGCACTGAATTGATAACAAGTATTTTCCTTCAGTAAGAACCCCAGTGTCCTGTAACATTTTTACTTTATAAGCTTTTGATAATTGAAACATTTTGTCTGTTGCATAGCAGCTTCAAACGCAAACATGTACAGCTGTACAAAAGTAGTTTTTATACTCTTATTATATAAGCTTTTTTTCTATTTAAATTTTATTTTACTTTTCAAACTTTTTTTTTGTTAAAAATCATATGCAAACACACATTAGCCTGGGGCTGTTCAAGATCAAGAGCGGCGGTCTCTGTCCTCGACTTCCACATCCCGGCCCCCTGGAAGGCTTCAGGGACAGTGACGTGTGTGGATCTATCACCTCTGTGACCACAGATGTGGGTTTCTTCTGGGCCCCTCTTGAAGGACTGGTTGAGGCTTTTCTGGGGCAGGTCACTCTTCAGAAATATGTCTTTAGTTGTTTACTTGCTTTTTTTTTCTTTTTTTCTGCCATAGATTTTGCTTGTAAGCAGATAATGCACCATAAACACTCTCCTCTTAATGAGGACCTTTGGTGTCGGGGGTCTATGTTTTCAATCGCTTTAAAGGAGCTTGTTGAAGTCTGAAACCACTTTTGCTAAATCTTCACTGTGAATTTTCTTAGAGGTTCTTTCCTCCCTCTGCAGTTTCTTTTCTCCAGCTATGTGTTTACTCTGCAGTAGGAACTTTTCATCTCTATTATAATCTCACAAAACCACTGCTTACCACTGTCACGAACCACAGCATCGTTATGCAAGCTGTATTTACTTTTCAGGCAGTCTAACTGCACCACAAAAATCTGGGCTCCAGGGGCTGGGAATATAGATCAGGGGCACGTGCCTACCTGCAAAGTGCAAGGTCGATTGCACTGAGTTCGATTCCTGATACAAAAAAACAGAAACAAAAACAGAAACAAAAAAAACCGGGGCTCCCGCAATAAGGAGTGAGGTAAAAGGGTGTAAATATTGCGATGGTGCTTGGTATTGTGGTGAAGTTGTTTTCTAAACAGGAAATAATTGCTCAATTACTTTGCTAAAATCCGTTCATCCTGTGTGGCACTGTGGGAGCGGCAGGGAGTGGTAGAGTGACCAGCGTCTTCCGTAACCATCACACAGCAGACAGAACATTTGCGACAGTTCCTAAGCTTTGGTTTTCTCCTCTTCGCCAGGGGATAATAATGTCTTTCTCCTGTGTGTTTTCCTGAGGATTAACGGAGATGTTGCTTGTACTGGGTAGAACATCAGGGGCACTCCCTACGTGGCACCTATAATTAAAATCATTATTTTAACCGTAATATGTCAGCAATAATAACTGATGGAGGTGGTATAGCTGGCCTGCTCGGGAGGTGGTGTCCGATTGGAGGAAGTGGGGTGACTGGGGGCGTGGCCTGGGAGGTTTTATCTCCCTCCTCTGCACCGCTCTCCTCTCCTTCCCCTTCCGCTTCCGGGCTGCCTTGCAGTGAGCAGCTGTCCTCCCGCAGGCCTCTGCGCTGTGCTGTCGTGACTTGGAGCCAGCCGGACTGTGCACAGACCCAGACTACTGAAGCATGAGTCAAAATACCACTCTCCTCCTTTAAAAAAATAATAATTGCTGTTATTCAGTATCTTCCCCGGCAGCCTATAGGGCTGTTAGGACTGTATTAGTCAGGGACAGCTACACTATGCTGTCATAACAAACAACTATCACATGTTACTCTTATCAGGGCTGTAAATCTCCGCTAGGGGAGGGGAGGGGAGCCAGCTCAGGAGGGTCTCTGCACAGAAGCACACCAGTCCCTTAGGTTCACGACTCATTGTTCAGAACTAACACACACACACACACACACACACACACACACACACA